GTCGCCTGAAACCTCACATGAGCTATAGTCTAAACTCCTTAAAGGGGGTTATATAGGGGATTATATAGGGGACTACTATAGTGGTTATTAAGGGGGATACTAGGAGTTTAGATTATAGTTCACATGTAATGAGAGCTGGGAACTGGCTCAGTAATGTACAGTCAGTTGCATGGCTTTAGAGGCAATTACTACAGACATGGTTGTTGTCACGTTTGCAAGTTGCCCTAAACCCTAAACCTTAACCGCATGGCCATAAGGTGGAGAAGGCAACCTGCCATGAAGGGTTTTTGGATAAGGGCAAGCTGGCTCTCCACATCTCACCGTGCATTGACGCATCGCGGCCTTCTTCTATTCAAAATCCAAGGAGAGAGCCTCCCAATTGAGCACCTGAGGTGGAGCCAGATCATGCTCGGTCAGGAGGAGGTGGGCAGAAAAATGCTTCAAACAACGAGCGTGTTTCCTTAAGCGCCAAAGCAGTGGCAGCAAGCAGCTTCAGCCAGCATCCTGCGTTGGTTGATCCCGAATTTCCGCACTCTTGGCTACGCGAATGTTGCGACAGATTACTCTAGTACATATAACCCCTATACATACACACATACATGTTATCGTATGCTGCTAAAGCAGAAACCTGCGCAGGTTTCCGAGGCTGTCGCAGGTAGAGCCGCTCTCAGCTACCGCAAATCAGGGTTCTAAAAAGGGGGGGAGAGTGGGCGGCGGTGTCCCATTGGATCCTTTAGGATTGTATGGGATGTATATATGTATGTACACTATTACACACAGACATGTAATTATACATTTATAGAGTTTTCAGAAATTTGGGCTCCTCGTCTGGGAGTCCTTGTAGTGAGGGTTACATTGGGGTTCCTATAGAGGCCCGAAGTAACATCGGAAGCTTTTTGGGAGGCTTCCAAGGAGGTTGCATGCACAATTTGCTTACTAGTCTGACGTAGGTTGAGTGTACATGCAGGACATAGTATGCTACGTGCCATGCTGTGAACTTGCCGCACCACAAGATGTAGGAGGCATAGCAGTGATATAGCAGTCCTTCAAGTCGAAGCCCAAAACCGGGCGCAGCCTTAAGCCTGAACTCCTGAGCTCGGCTCCAGCATGCTAGAAATCCTGCCCTCTGCTGGCCGAACCCCAAAGCATGTGGACTTCTGCAATGCCTCTATGTCAAGTTGCTCAGGCCCTGAGCCTGAAGATCGAGAGAGGTGCCGTTCAGGGTCTAAGAGGGCGGATTACTCTTCCCTGGAGCAACTCGCAGTCGCTAGCGTAATGGGAAGATCTGGGTTCAAGGCAGAGGGGTTGGGACTTCGGAATCTGCTTTGACAACAAACTCTAGCAGATGATCAAGGCTGTCTTGCTCAACTGCTTCTTACTGCTTCTGATCTGGCTGGGCTAGTGACAGTCTTGATTACTACGGCCTCTGGCAAGTTCCTTGCTTAAGGATACTAAAGACTATCTAGCTCGAGCCGAAACATACTTCAATTGGAACCCATGTTGTTTTTGAGGCTTTGGTGGTGATTGCATTTGGACTTATTGGATTACGGCAGCTAGATTTCTCCCGCACTTAGAGCAGGGGACTAGCCAGTACCGACCACCTGCGCATATGGGTAGTTCCAAAAATTAGGGCCCATTTTGGTACCCCTAAATATTAGGTGTCGTGATATTATCTATAACCAAAATTGGCCCATCATGTTGGGAGCTACCCATATCACAGGGTAATTCAGGAAGCAAGACCTTGTCAACAGTTCAGTTCTGAGCTGGTCCGTACATACACTTGCCCAACAGCCGTTTCTCACCCTATTTAGGTCTTATATACTCCACCCCTAAACCCTGTTATAGTCTCTTAGAAGTATGCTCCGGGTAGATAACCGTTTCTACCCCAGACCCCCTAAAGGATCCCAAAATGGAACCCCCCTGATGATCCCCTAGTTTGCCCAGTGTAGCAATGAGTTCATATTGGGGGGGTGGGGTGCATTGTTTGGATCCAATCCTAAACCCCAAACCCTAAACCCTAAAAGTGGGTCTGGGACCATATGAGCTAGAGTCTAAACTCCTTAAAGGGGGGTTATATAGGGGATTATATAGGGAACTACTATACAGGGTATTAAGGGGGATACTAGGAGTTTAGACTATAGCTCATATGGGACCATCCTGACTCCAAGCATGCCAGGCCCTTCAGGCCAAAGAGGCATCCAATCCATGTGGCGGGTCGGCCGCAGCCCAGGCCAAAGAGCTCATGTTGAACCCCAAAACTATGTAAAATAATGGGATTATATAGGGGTTATGTAGGGATAATGGAAAAGAAAATGGAAGCTACTATATTAGGGGTTAGGGTTTGAACCCCAAAACTATGTAAAATAATGGCCTCTTGGGCTGTTGTTAGGGATTTGATGCTATTTTAAGACCTAATTTTGGGGCCCAGGATGGCCAACTGTGCGAGGGTTTCCATGAGACAAGGGGCGCTTTTCGGGGTTGTTCTGATAAGGCTGAGTATATTGCTGTCGATGGACGAAATCTTGCACCATTTAAAAAAAAGCAGTAATTTAGGGGCCCTACTGTAGGGCGGTGCAAGATTTCCTCCATACATATATTGGGACATTTGCGGCTCTCTCTGTATGGGAAACCCCTGGCCCCACATGGGAGTTTCCCAAGACTGTCCTGCTAAAGAGGATTTCGTTGTAAGGGCTTGTATGATAAGGGGATCGGACTCTATGCTTTGCGACGTGGCCCTGCGTAGGAGTGGAGCATCCCCAACGAAGGATTATTGAGGGTGCGGGATTTTTGTATACCCAAGGGTTCCTATGTAGTTACCTTTTGGGGTTTGTCATGTTTTTTTGGTAGGGGAGAAGAATATACTACCCAACAAGGAACTTCATAAGAGGGTCTGGGTAGGCTGCGGACCTGGGGTTTGAGGGATAGGGTCTAAGGCAGCCTGAAAATCCCATGTATCCGCAGCCAGGAATGCTTCATCCAGAGTCTATATCCAAGCTAGGGTTTACGATTTAAGGTCCAGGATTAAGGGTTTAGCACTTAGGGTTTGGGATCTAGGGTTCAGGACTTAGGGTTTAGGGTTTAGGGTACTTCTCTTATGCCGAAGGTGGAGATGCGATGTCCACAACTGGCGAGGCAATCACATCGTTGTCTGCACCAGCCTCAGGGCAACGAAGATGCCTTCTTCGGGTATTGCCGCCGCTCTGTAACAGTTGGATAATATTAACGATTCATGAGGATACTAGGAGTTTAGACTCTAGCTCATGTAGCTATATATATATATATCTATATATAGCCCTTCATGTGACCCCTAATGTAGACTGTTACAGGGTGGTGGCAGTACCCACCAGCACCCTTCCTGAGCTGTAGTCTAAACTTCTCAAGGAGGGTTACATAGGGGGTTATATATGGGAGTATTATATGGCTTATTAGGGGGGATACTAGGAGCTTAGACAATGATTCACATCGCCTTCTAGTCCCAAAGTATCCCAGGCTCCTCAAGGGTACCCCAGTTTTTCAGTGGCTCCCGCCTTTGTCCGAAATTCTGAGTCGCTGAAGCAGGTTGAGAACCTCACATCTCATCCATCCCCCAAGCTGGCGTAAGGTGCCT